TAAAAATTCTAAAAATTCTAAAAACTAAACAACCTACAGTATTTTCACAGTCTTTATTTTACAGTTAAAATATATGTTTATCAAATAAAGTCTAATGTTACAACTAATCAGGGATCCCTTTAAACGCACATCACCCTCTCAATTTTAGGCCAAAGTTTTACAAATAAAATGGTCACATGCCAAAGAGACTTTTAGATGTTTCAAGCATGAATTCATAATTTTCTTGTTTGTTTTTTTGTTCCAAAGTTCACTTTATAGATAAAGCTGTGCAGCATCTCATCTGTAATATGTTGGAGTCGGTTCTACTTGGTTTCGTCTTGGAGTTTTATTATTGTTTTTTTTACAACTCTTTCATACGCTGCTCGTCTCAGCTGCTGTGTTGTTTCTGAAATCCTAACCCTTCCAGCTGAATTTGCAGCTTCTAACATCAAAACATGCTTTGGAATATTTGCCAAGACGTGCAAATAAGCAGACTGCCATGTGCCTCCCTCCTCTGCTGGGAAATATTTGACAGTTTGAGTTTAAATATTAGAATAGAAGACAATTTGTTACTCTGTAGCTTGTCGTTTTTCTTTCGTTTTTTTTTTTCTTTTTTTTGTTTTTTTGCGCAGAGAGAGAAAAAGACACGACAGCCTAAAGTTAAATCTTCTCTTTCTCTCTTTGTCTTTGACTCGGTGTCTCCCTGCATCGTTCTGAGGATGCTTTTCCACCAGAGGGAGGCTGAGATTATGTACGGATTAAGAAGAAAAGGCTTTGACCCACTTCCTTTTCAAAGTGCCGTCCAAGGAGAAGCATGTAGAGGCCGGCTTTCATTCAGAGTCAGCAGTTGTGTTGTGATGTTTGAGGCTCATGTTTATTGCTCCTAAGACTATAATTAGCATGGCAGGCTTATGGTGTTCAAAATGCTTCCCTGACTTATCTACTGAGAGCCTGGAAGTTCTCTTTGTAAATCTCCTTGATGTCCAGGAGTCAATAACTGCCACAACATCCACTCCAAACTATTATCACCCGGCACTGGCGATGATGTCTTTTCTGCGGTGATTTAATCAAACACCAAAATGTTTAAAGCTCTGTAGATTTGGTTTGGCGATAGCTGAGAGTTAGCCTGGTAAAAACCAGACCCTTGTCCTTCACTTTGCTTCGTACTAGGGTCTGGACTCGCTGATATAGGGAAGCAATTCTTGCTGGAGGTGTGGCCTCTGCTGAAGCATGTGTGTGTGTATATATGTCGCTGTGAAGGAGGCTAAGCTAAGAAGTTAACCGGAAATCGCGTGCGCTGTAAACAACCCTACTGAGAGGAGAGAAGTACCGAGCTGAACGAGACGACTGTAAATGAGAGCTGCTGCTTTGTCAGACAAATTTCATTTAATTTGGAAGCCTTATCAACACAGACTGGCTTCATTCACTTCCTCCACTGCCGTATGCTAAACTAACTAGCAGACACTGCGCAGAAAATCGACGTCGTTCAAAACTCCTCCTTCTGTTTGCTGATTGGCCCAGGTAAAATAAACTACAAACAGACACTGCGCAGAAAATCGATGTTCTGTTCTCTGATTAGTTCGGCTAAAAATCTGCCAGTGAAATCCTTGTCTATGGGAGAAATGCCAGACGGAGCAGAGAAGGGAAACTATAGCGGAACTGCATAGAAAGGCAAGGGCCAGGCTAGCTGAGAGTAATTCCCAACAAATTTAAAACTTTATAGTAAACGTTGCCTTTCTGTTAGCAAAATATCTCATGGATCACTGATCACTGGATGTACATCTATAACTGATTAATTTGGAGTCAATCCCTTTCAAGATGGCTACCACAGCTAATCACTCAACACAAAAATGGACATGCTTCATTCAATTTTAAGGCTATTGAGCTAACATTTTGCATCGTAGTAGCTGAGACTCATCCCTTGTATATTCTCTGATAGGTTTAGTGAAATCCAACAACATCTCGCACAAAATCGTTCACAATGTAAGGTCTCAGGCCTTTTAATTTGTCTGGGTTTTAGACAGCTGAGGTGGGCATTTAGCATTTTTTTTCCAGCCTTGATGATAACACGAGAACGAAAGCGAGAGCCAAGTCAGCACACACGGAGGGGGGAAAAATAGCTATGGGTGGAGGGGTGTGGGGGGAGGGGGGCCTGACACAAAGATAGAGAGGAGAGGCGGCGGAGATAACTGCCGAGAAAGTGGAAGAGAGTTTGCCAAGAGGAGGAGAGAGAGCGTAGGGAGAAGTGACAGAGCAATGTAGTGACAGAAGAAGCAAAAAGTGGTGAGACAAAGACACGAGGGTGAAGGAACAAAAAAAAAAAAAAAGGATCTACAGGAGGCAGAGAAGAAGACGAAGAACCTGGTCAGAGAGAGAGAGAACAGCGAGACAGAATGAGACCCAGGAGGTAAACTAATCAACCAACACGCAATGCAATTTTCTGGCTCCGTGCCTCCAACCCACCCCACCATTCTCCTCCTTCCTCATGCAACCCCCCACCCCCACCTCCCCCCAACCCCTTCATCTTGGAGGCTCCTTTTACTATTCTGCTCACACACGCTGTCTCTCCCTCCACTATCTATCAGGCTGTACCATTTCCACCTCACTCGGCTGTTTAGCACGTCTCAGTAACACCAGCACCACCCCCTGACTTCACAGCATGGACTTGCCCACTCTGACCATCAGCACAAAAAAAAAAAAAGCATATGCTGTAGAAGTATGTGGGGGTGTGGCTTTAGGATTATTTAGTGCTGAACAAGGTTTCTGTGCTGTCCCAAAGCAGCTGTGTGATGGGGGAGATTGTGTGCGACGACGCAGTGAATGATGGGAAAATACAACAACTGATCTGAAGAAGCTTCTGTGGATGAGTGTGTGTGGGGGCACCCCCCCCCCCACCACCTATAGGTGCAAGCATTTAGGGAGGTGTTTATATCACCTCAGCTAAAGTATTTTTTAATGTGTTGAGTCTCCTGAGAGTGGCGACAATTGCCTCTGTGATATTTTTTTCTTTTTTTGCAGCGTCTTGATGATGATGATAGATGTTCACTCCAGACATGCAAATAATGGAGGCGGCTCCTTAGAAGTGTGCTCTCACTCAAAACCCACGCACTGTCTTACACACACACACACACACACACACACACACACACACACACACACACACACACACACGTTTGTTTCTTGACCCCGTGGGGACCTTCCATTGACTTCCATTCATGTTTTTTAGACTTTATAGCCTAACCCTGACCATATACTCTAAAATTAACCTCACAGAAACTTACCTGACCCTAAAACTAACCTAAACCTTGGTCCTAAACCTAACCCCACACCTGTAACATACATTTGGACCCGTGGGGACCTGACAATGGTCCCCACGATTCACTTCAGTCCCCACCTGGCTGCTTTTTTTTGTAAAAAAATACCCCACGTTGTAGGAAAAACCCACACACACACAGTCACATGCATGTGTTTAACCATGATCAAGACATCCAACTGTTTTTTAATCTATACCTTTTTTGGGGAACAGACCCCTGGGAGACACCCCCACACACACACACACGCATGCAACTCCTCACCCTATTTTCACCGGAGCGCCAACTGTAGGGTAACATTAGTCACATGGCATGCCAATTTGAAACATAGGAATCCTTTTTCGTAAGAGAGAGGTGTGAGTGTGGAAGAGGATAGCGAGCTCATTACTGACATAAAGCAAGTCACCTCGTCCATCACATGTGACAGCCCTGTCACCCCTCCGAGGGTTCCGCACAAACACTCCACGCAGACTAATTTCAGCTAGATTATTACATTTTCTCGCTCACAAACACGGCGTCGACATGCACTCTGTCTCAACTCAGACGCGCCTCGCAATGCACATGTAAATCGTGCTTTATTGCACAGCGTCTCATCGTTGCAACTCACAAAACACTCAGATGGATCGCTTTCGAGCAACAGGAACCCCCCCACCCCCCCACCCCTTGCTTAGATCAGGCTTCACACCATCTTGTGGTGTTGTTACGCGAAAGCCCCGAGCTGCATGCTAACCGGAGGGGGGAGAATCCAGAGACACAAAGCATATGTGTGAATCCCCAACTGCTAAACAGGCCCGCTGAGAAAGACTTGTTGTGACAGATCAAAAATATCAGCTGGGAAAGTGCGGCGAGAAACTGACAGAAACGGTGAGGCCCTCGAGTACAGCTCATCCTGAGATTTATTTTCCCCTGAAGTTATGCTGGGCTCAGTTTGGTGTAGCAGTTTGTATTGATGTGATAGCTTAAAAAATATTAATAAAAAAAACTTATCACACTGGTAGGTTTGTCCATTTCAGTGAGGCTCCCCCATGCAAACGGAATCCTTGAGAATACTACGTCTGACGTAACTTTGAGCAATCAGTCCATCCATCGATTTTCTATTGTTTTCTGTACCGGGTCTTTGGTGCCTGTCTCTCACAGGGACACAGAGACAAAACAAAACCAACAACCATTTACTCTCTCACTCACACTTAGGTACAATATAGAGTTACCCAATTAACTAAACATGGATGTTTTTAGTTTTGGTTTGGTGGAGGAAACAAGAGTACCCGAGGTAAAGCCACTCATGCACAGGAAGAACTCCACTCAGAAAGGCAGTAGCTGTGTTTTCAATCTTTCACCTTCTTGCTATGAAGCAACAGCTCTAACGATTATCTGCTGTGCTATTGCTAAAAGCATGATCATTACTTTTTAATGCAACAACCTCCAAATAAACACTCTGCCCTTTGCAATATAAAAACACATATTAATGTTACAAGAAATTGGGGAAGTAGTAATTAATGCAGTCTAGGGCTGGGCCATAAAACATTAGTGATACACTGTATATCACAATAAACACGTGATCGAAATCAATAGAAAATATGTCCGATATAATGTTGCTAATTTCACTGAACTCCAATCCAGAACTGCACGGCATTCTGGAGGATGTAGGCTCGACCTCTCACAGAGTTACCCATTAACTGAGGAAACCAGAGTACCCAGAGAAAACCCACACATGCACAGGAAGAACATAGAAATGCCATCCAGAAAGCCAAGTTTTCAACCTTTGACCTTCTCACCATGAGGCAACAACTCTAACTACTGTGCGTTGCTAAAAGCATCACCATTGATTTCTGATAAAAGTTTCAAATAGTCCAAACGGGCTGCAGTTTGCAATAAAAAGCAAATATATTTCATGTTTTTACAAGAAATACAACATGGGACACACCTGGTACCTACAGGCTATGCACTTGATACTCACTGGGTACTTATTGAGTCCATACCTGATACCTACTGATATCAAGCACATGACGGCAACCTGGTGTAACCAGGTACATACCCACCTGGCAAGTAACACATGATATATATGCAGTGGGCTTATTATATATTGCTTTCAAAAATTTTATGTAATGTGATGACGAATAGTAAATTTTAACATATAAAAAATGAATACCATTTATTACACACTAACATTCTATGTTGCATTTCAATAGCTTGTCCACTGCACACAGTCATAATGCTGCTGTTTTAGTAGATATACAGTCAAAGGTAGGCCTACAGATAATTAAAAAATAAATTAAATATTATAACAGATTCAGACAAGCCTAGGGTGTATAAAAATATTACTCTTGGCTATTTCAGCACTTTCACAGTCATAAACTGTGTCCTTCAAACACCCAAACACTGACTAAATCAATGCAACGTGTAAATCCTTCTAGGCAGTAGCCAAGATTCCTGCTGTCAGCTTTTTTAGCTCCTAGAATTGCCACAAACAACAACAACAACAACAAAAAAAAATACACACACAGAAGCAGAAATAACACATAGTAGCAACATTTGTGCCCTGCTTTTTGTTTCTGAGTAGGGGGATGGTTAGATGGAAAGAAAGGTGGAACAAGAAATGAGTGGGGGATGGGCTCAGATCGATACAGGTATCCCGAACTTCTTTTCTTTCACGAATCTATGCGGGGGAAAGGCTGGATGCTGACAGAGCAAAGCCTCCCTCACACCGCGGGTCTGCTCCCTCCCCCTCACGGTCGTCTCACTGAGCAGAGGAACTGATTGGCTTTTTGCACAGACAACACAGCTTCTTCCTCTCAGCAGGGAACGACATGCGATGCAGCTGTATCTCGTCTGCGCCTCAGGGCTGTGAATTGCCAAAAGATACGAAAAGGAAAACCCAGCCAAAACAACGTGACACATGTGACAGGCTAACTAACATGATAGAGTGATGTCACATAAGCAGGATGTGTATATATTCATATACTTTTATAAATATATGAAAGACGCCCACCATCAAGATGATTTTGTGTTCTGTGACTGTTGTTTCGACTCACTCCAATATTACATTTGTCAGGTATCTACTTGTACTCTGGTAAACTGAAATGGAACCATCACAAATGATTTAAACGTGTTTAAACGAACGCAGTCCGATGGATTTATACATTAGATTATGTTAGTATATTATATAGTAGCTCAGGCTCTCTTACAGCTTGTTTTCACAAGGCATGTGTTGCAACAGATCACTGCTGTTTTTTTTATTAATCGTACACGTCAATGTAAAAAACCATTCTAAAGCATAAGTGTAGCAGTGGCGCAGTGATATTTGTATTTAAAGAACCCACCCGTGTATGCTGACACTTCAGTCTCGAGCATGAAAACAATTACAACTAAACTGGTGAATACATGATTGTTTGGACCAGTGGATGTCTTTGGACGCTCCTATGTGTTCAGAAGGATGAGTAGCACAAAACAGTGCTATCCACCATGGTTACTGTGCCAGCGCAGATAAACTACTGACTGCAGCTTTCTGTAATGTCGATTTAACACAGATGCCGGACCTTCCCCAAACATCTCCTGTCTGAGACCTGCATTCAAAAAGCTTTTGTGTCAAAATCCCTGCTGTTGTGTACAACAACAGTCAAAATGCTGCAGAAATGTTGTGGTTCACTTCTGTCTAATTAGCTGTTAGACTCTTCAATGAAATGGTTTTTCTAATTCTCCAAACTGGGAATGGCCAGACTTCTGTCTTCAACACTGAATCCTACGGAGCCCGCGAGGGGACAAGGGGGGATTTTTTTTTCCTTTTGCATTCCCACGCAATACCTTTGTGTTCCCTCGCAATTCTTTTGCATTCCCTCGCAAATTTTTTTGCGTTCCCACGCAAAAGATTGTTTTGTATATGAACTGAATTAAATCAAACTTTTATTTTGAAATATCCGGTTACCAAAACAGGATGTGTCGCCACAAGTTCGTGAAACTGACATCGATGTTGTGTGGCTGCACTGTGTTAAAATATCGGCATATAACATACTTCCATGCGTAGCTGTGTGATATATTCATTCTGAAGCTGAATTAAAGCAGTAGGCAAACTCGCTAATGGTGAACATGTGAGTTTGCT